TAAAATCATCCATAACTACCTTAATGTACCATATGTTTCCGATTTAGCTCAATCCAGATACCTGTCCTTCCATAATAAACTTCTGAACCATCCGAACCCTCTTGTTTCTAACCTTGCTTCCTCTTCAATTCCTGATAACCCTCCGAGGCGTCTGAAAAGAAGATGGCTTCGGAACCTTCTAATATAGAAATATAATTGGAGAACTACCAATGGATAGTTTCTTTTCATGTTGCATATGTCAAGTTACTTATTTCATATTTATCATTATACAGTTGTAAATTTCAATAATAAAAATTAAAAAAAAAAGAAATTTTTTGAATTGACTAACTTATAGCACATATAATTGTGGAGTGATGGTTGAGTTTAGCGAATAATTGAAAAGATGAGAGGTCATTGTGTTCAATAAAAAAGAAACAAATAAAAATAAGTAAATTAAATTTATTTTCATAAAAATATAATTTATTAATACACATCAATATAATTTATTTATTTTTATTTGTTTGTATACTAAACAACCCAACCAGCCTTGTCTCCCCTGTAAAGTGGTGCTAACTTCTTAAACACAGAGATAAGGTAATTGTTAGGTTTTGATGTGTTTGATTATCCGTTCTTTGTCTGTGTACAATATCCACAAAAATGGAAATTGGGTGAAAAGAGAGCATGGTCTTTAATTTCATTTAAAATTAAATTAAATTGGTATTTATAAAGGCTGACCATCTGCCTGATTCTAACATCCATCTTGGGCAACACCTGCTGTCACCAATGATATTTCTTCACTGATTCAGGAAGAATATTTATACTACAGCTCATTGACTGAACAGCTAAGATCAAGTTCTTTAACTTATGAATCGTCATTCATGCTTTCTAATAAAGCATTTTTAACCATAATTTAACCAGATAATCCAGCAACTCAGCCTTTTCACTTTTCTTTGGCATTTTAAAAATAAACCAAAACTTTAGTAGATCAAGTTTAGATTGATTCACAAAATATTTTGCAGTATAACCTTACTATAACCTCAGCATGACCTTACTATAACTGATAACACGTTAGCACAGACAGGTTATTTATCATTCATTCAAAATTTTTGCTGACTGCTTAAGATGATTTCACTTTAAGTATATACAACAAGTGCGTTATTGTCCTTGCTATCGATGGTAAAATATCGTAATTGTGGGTAAATGGTTGACTGTCGTAAATAATGAAGAGAAAAATAGTTGGGGTGATCAGTCAAATAAGAAGGCAAAAATAAATGATAATATTTATTTCGACATTTGCCGACGTTTCGACCTGAAGTTCAGGCCTTGCTGAACATTATTGCTGCCTCCAAAAAGGTTGATGGAGAAATGTGGTTTATAAATAAATATTATCATTTATTTTTGCCTTCTTATTTGACTGATCACCCCAACTATTCTTCTCTTCATGGTAAAATATCAAATGTAGGAAGGAAAATATCGATATTTCGATATAATCGACTATCTATTGACATCCCTATCCAACATTAAATAAATTTCAATCTGTTCATAGCAAATTGATTCGGCACCCCTAGACTCGAGAATGTTAAAGCGGGCGACGGCATCACAGCCACTAAGTACACAGCTCTGTCAACACACGGCTTCCCCTAAACTGCAGATGATTGCCTTTGGCGCCCTCCGTTCGCTGCACACCCTCCCCCATAGGACCGCAGGCTATTTCCTATAGTTCGGGGGACAAAGGGGAACCCTTGGGAGGGTCGCCCATCCAATTTCTGCTCGGATTGGAGTTACTTCTATTATTGATGCGAAGTTGTGCCGGGAGGGAGTGCTGTGAAGGCGTTCCTCTGGGCATCGCCTTGTTCTAAACTGCCTCAGTATTTGGATTCACACAGAAGAAAATCATAGATTCATTATATTATAGATTTAATTTGTTTGGATAAAAGGAAAAGTATTTCATTTATTAGATTTTTATATATTTGTATACTTGAAAGTCCGGTTTTCAGCTTTTCTATTCAATCTTAGCCTCAGGTAAATACAGAAATACAAACTAAACTCGATTTCATGCATAAAATCATTTGCCATTAACATCTCACCAAGCTATCTAAATAAATACTGAAGGATCATTGTTAGTGTTGCCCAAAATTGGTCTTGACCAAGACTAGTAAAAAAAAAATAATTTTTTTGAAAAATATTAAGGCAAAATAGTTACTAATGCTTGACAAATTTAGATACTATATGTAAAGAATTGAGATAACCAATATACTTTTGCATTTAACTGTTCTAATTTTTCATTCGGGCCTAGTTAGGATTTCCCCATCTAAAAAAGTACTAAGCTAATAGGTATCTGCATGACCGTTGCGAGACTCTTACGCAAGACCAAGACTGACCAAGACCTAGACCAAGACCAAGACTCGTCTCGGTCTCTCATTTGGGCAACACTAATCATTTTCTTTTTATTTTCGAAGTACACGATTATTTTAGTTGTATTATTTATAACATTAGATAGATATCTGTTCTAAACATGTTGTAAAAATTAAAGAGAAAATCTTGTTACACAAAGTTTGTTATACCTAAAATAAAAAATGAGCAGATTATTTTATCTTATGAATAATTTCAGTTTAAACTTTTCAATTAAATTCATAACTAAAATATTTTAGTACGTGACTAATAAAATCTTATTAACTTCCACCTGCCTACAGTTGTCTTACATGCTCATAAATACGAGGAGGAGATTAAAAAGGCGTTGGATGAGAGACCTTCTTTAACAAACTATAGTAATTAAATAAGCCAGGTGAGAGATACTGACGGATGCTATCATTCTTCATACCTCATGTCAGTTTCATGGTTTTTATCAGACCAGCTGATTATCAGTGGTTTATGGACAAATAAATATATTAAAATTATAACAAATGTGTTTGAACTAAATAACTTTTGAAATGGGGCTGTAAATATAGGGATTTTAAAGTCAATTAAAGATTGAGGTAATAATGAGGTTACATACATCGATGATATAGCAAACTATGGGTCACGAGTGATTTATTCTAGGAATAATTTTTTTTTTTTCTTTATTTTATTTTATTTTTTCTTATGCCATTCGTTAGTCATTTGGCCATCCGATATCTTGCTGCCCAGTATAATTTAGATTTTCTGATATGTATATTTGAAAATATTTTGTCTCTTATGTCCCTCAAGGCAGGACATGCGTCTAGATGGTCTGCATCCATTGTTCCTAGATGACACAATTTACAACTAGGATCCTCAGCGACATATGTATTTTAACATATACATATGGGAATAAATATGTATTTTATAATAATAATAAAAGGCTTAGCGAACCCGAATGTTCGATGCCGACACCACCAATCGCTTATTCCACACCTCCCACCTCCCTCCACCGTCCGCCGTCCAAACCCAGTCCCTTCAGATCGGCTTTAATGCAATCTTCCCACCTTCGCTTCGGTCTACCCCTCGGACTTTTACCATTCGGTACAACAAATATTAACGTTTTAGGAATTCTCTCGTTACTAACCCCGACCAATTTTACAGGCTCATTTGATTTGCCGGGATGAAATCACTTCAATTATATTACACGGATACATTTCACGCAATTCGGCGTTGTGTAACCGTCTGAATTCTCTGGTTAATTCATCCTTCTTCGGTCCGAATATTCTATACAATACTTTATTTACAAAAACCTTAAGACGTTGGTCATCCCTTAATGTAAGCGGCCGCGTTTCTCATATATACGATATTTTATAAAGAAGTATTTTTATCCCTAATTTTCATCAATGAGTTTAATGAAGATCTGATGGATTTACTATGCTAGTGAGTTTAGAATCCAGCCAATATTGATATATCCGTTACGTTTTTACTTGTTGATTGGTACATAGAATATTTCCTTTCGAAATATTAGAGTGAATCATGTTCACAAACCACAATGGTCTGTATCTTTTCTAAAAATTGCCCGATTTCGGTGACTTCTATCATTTTGTAGAGATTTTGGAACCTTTTTAATTATTATTGATCGAACATGGATTGTATACTTGTTGAGGTATTTGAAAATAAAATTTCCATTTTCCTCATTAGTTTTTTTCCTCCTGAAGGAAGAAGATATTCTTCAAAATAATCACTGAATTATTGAATTTCAAGAACAATTATTTTATCAGAATTTAAGTTTTTAAAAATAAAATTTTTATCTAGAATTATTCTGTCTCCATTTACTGAGACCTTCCAAAGAGAAAGTAAAAAAGTTAAAATTCTCGTTATCCTGGACTTTGGTTTAAAGTTGGTGCCTAGAAGAGATTTATCCAAGAGGGGAAGTAGTCAGTAGAGAGGGGGGGGGACATAAATTAGAGGGAGTGGAGCCCCCTGGTGGATAGTACCCCAACCATTTTATATTAGCCCTTCGTCTCACTCCATGCCCTATATCTCCATCCTTCTCCTCTTACAGTGGCTCCAGTCTTAGCCTCCTATATAACCGTTTACAAATAAATATAAGCCTAACTTCACTTTAAATATTCACCTAACTTAAGACAAACTGGCAAAGACAAACTCTACTTGTATTCGAATGAAATTTTTGTTTATATTAATCAATTTTTAGTAACTTAAATTAAATCATTTTTTTGTTATCGCTTCCTATGAAAGAGAAAACGTGGCTTCCTTAAGAAAACAAAAAATTGGATTTATCCATTTGGAATCGGACCATGCACAAAATCATTTATTTTTGTTGGAAATTTTATATACAATCACGGAAATAGACCAGCGCAACGGAGATTTCTTCTCCACTTCAATGTTATTGAAATTCCAAAAAATCTCAAATTAAGATTGCACATTGCTATGATAAAGTTCTTATATATGGTTGTGAGACCTAGACACTGTCTAACGCTCTAGAAAAAACTATTGAACTCTTTGAAAAAAATATCCTCCACAAGAGAACCGGAGCGATCTAGGATCAAATTACTAACACATGGAGAAGAAATACCAGTAAAGAACTGCTTACAGAAACTTGTTAATCAATACCTCAAGATATGAAGGTACGGAAGTTAAGATAGCTGGTGCATGTATGGGCTCAAAGCAATCCATCTACACCACAAATATAAAGTTTTTGAGTTATATTAATCCATATACAAAAACAATACAATTAGTCGTCTCCAGCCAATATTAGCCGGAATCTGACAACCCAATCTAATTCACTCCCAAAAAAAAAAACAAAAAAAAAAACGCCTAAATAAGTTTCAATTTCAAAAATCCATACAGGTTGTAATTAATTCATAATATTTCGGTGCCAAAATGATCAATTTAGATATAATGTATCAATTTTATACGAGTATTCTTTAAATGATTATTATTAAAACATTTTTTATTTATTTCAGGTTTCGTGCTGTCCGAATTCATCCGCCATTTTGAGCCCGCCATCCAAGGAGAGGAGGAGCCCCGGGCGAACAGGCAAAAGAGGTCCCCGGGCCCCTTCAGGATACATCTCACCACCCAGCACAGGTCGGCTATATTATTTACTATATATTATATATCACTATATTATATATTATATATTACTATGTTTCTATATTATTTTTTAATACCTAGCCCTTGCGAATAATTTGCATTAAATATTAGTCAGAGAACAACTGATGATATAGTATGAAAATATGTCAATAAAATCTATTATCAGGTGGAGGAATACATTTTCCTTTTCAAAAAAATAGTTCATTCATATAAATTAATCAAAACGTGTGTATAGTTTACTGTAGTCTATATATTTGCTGACAATGGTCCGCTTTTTTTTTTTTTTTTTTTTTTTTTTTTAATGTAATTTTGCAACCTTCTATGACCAAATTAAGTTTGTTTTTTATTTATTATATCTATATAAATAAAATAAAGATTTTGTCTGTACATTGAATATAATCAATCCGTTTTATGATATATTTCCGTTTCATACATTACAGACACCAAATCAACTTTTAACGGTTAAGAAGAAACATTTTGGAAAAAAAAATAGTTTGATAAGCATTGTACAATGAGATTTTGTCAGGAGTAAGCTCGGCAATGGCTAATGGTAGACTTTAGAAATTTTGACATTGTATTTAGGTTTGCTTGACTTAAAACATAAGCTTTAAATGAAAATGAAATAAATTATTTTAAGATTCAATTGGAAAGCAAATGGGTGTTCACGAGGGTTTAGTATCAATTAGATAGAAAAAGTTTACCGATCGTCAGATTGAAAACTAGTCATTTTCGTAAATAAAAAAAGTTATAGGGTCACCATAACTTAGATGAAGATAGATAAAGCCATTCCCGAAGTTTTAGGCGGATGTTAAAAATTTGATAGAGAGCTACTTCAGTCTATAAATTATCAAAATATTAAATTAAACATTTGCTCGGAGCTTCGATTCATTCGTGAACACTTCAAGATTTTAAACACACTATTTGAAAAATACAATGTTTTTTTATTTCAATCGTCTTAATAACATTTTTCTTGAAAAATGACGGTTAAAAAGATACATTTTGGAAAAAAGAAAGTAGGTTGATAAGCATTGTCCAACGAGATTTTGTCAGGGGTCAACTCAGCTATGGCTAATGGTAGACTTTTAAAATTTTGACATTGTATTTAAGTTTGCTTGACTTAAAACATAAGCTTTAAATGAAAAGAAAATATTGAGTAGGACCAAAGTTATGAATCCTTTAGTAATTTGTCTAGAGATCTCGGTTAGGCAGTTACTTACTTCGATTCCCATCCCAATCTACTCTACACCGAGCCACACAGCAAAACTTTTACTATTCAACTGATTGAAAAAAGTATTACAAATCAACGAAAAAAATCCTAAATTCCGAATATCGCGTTGTCGCTTAAAACAAGAGTAAAACACGCTCATTTTTCAACTCATCTACCCGTTTGACTATAGGTACAGATTTAATTATATACGAATAAAAAATAGTAAAAAAAAAACAAATTAAGAGCAGCAAGATATTGTAATATCCCTAGTGAAGTTCACAGTATAGAACAGTACTATCGTTTGATGATGGCCAGAAATGTATAATATCGAAAGTTTAGCAAGTATCTGACAAGTATTTAGTATCCAGGTATTTAGGTATGGATTCTAGGATTGTTAGATGTTAAAGGGTGCTACATTTAACTATACATCCGTCAACGACGGGCACATAAAATTATAAATAATTTTTTTTTATTAAAATAACCATATCTGCTGTATATATTGTTGTATAATTTTAATAAGTTGTTCCATATCTACAATTTTTTTAACGAACAATAGATTCACTGTCACCATGTAAACAATGAAACTGTCGCATTATCATGACGGCAACTGTCACTGTTTAAACTACACTTTAGATTTAATTACAGATGCCACAATTGACCTTTACGTTTTAGAGTGGGATCCGGTTAATTGTTACCGGCTGTATGAAGGAGTTGCTAACACTCAAATCCAATCAGACAGCGCACAATATCCTGTCGGATCTCCCGCTAATACTCAATCAGACAGAACAGTATACCCAATCAGACAGAACACTGTGAGGTAAAAGCAAACAGACAAATAAAGCTGTTTGCGCTTAGAGAGGCTCGTGCTGAAATAACTACCTCCCGGCTCGTCTTTTGTCTGGGGCTTCCTCCCCATCTCCCCTCTCTCTATCAGCCTCGTGCCGCTCCCTCCTTCACACCCTCCTCAGACACCCTCCCAATTTCCTACCTACGCCTTGTACCCAGATATACTCAGATATTTTCTCCCTGGAGTTCCTCTGAGCGGAAAAACACGGCCCTATCGTGATGTCGTGTAATAGTGAGAGCTTCAGCTACATTTCACAGGACAATAGAACCTTTTTGACAGGATTCAGGATGTTTCTAAAGGAAACCTTTTATTTATTTACAATGATGCAACCTGCCAAGTATAGTATAATACTTTTTTTCAATTCTCTATTGATAATTGCAATCAGTCACATCCAAGGACACTGGTAATAGTGATAGAACAGTAGCTCATTCACTCACTATGTACAATAAATAAAACTAAATTAATGTAATAATACTAAAAGTAAATGCATATTAACAAAAATAAACTAAACTAAAGAAATTAAGCTTCGCCACCAGTGTTCTTTATAAAAAGAAGAACTTGTCTCTATAAGCTAAGATACGACATTATAGCACGGTCGTTAAGCCAGTGGTACTCTACGCAACAGAAACTTCTTGTCTTCCCAGCCAAGAGATCCTTCTGAAAATAGAAAGGAGACTTCTCAGAAGAATCTACGGACCTAGGAGAAGACCTGAAGGATACAGGTTGAATGAAGAAATATACAAGCAAACAACAGATCTAGAAACTGACGCTAGGGTGGGAAGTCTGAGGTTCTATGGCTATATGACGAGGATGAATCCTGAATGATTTAACCACAACATTTTTCAGCGAATCCAGTCATAAAAATTTAAACGGGTATTTCAAACAGGTTAAGGATGATATGGACCAAGTGGGGCTAAGAGACCAAGATTGTTTGGACAGAGAGGAGTACAGGAAGGCGCTCAAGAGAATAACGGTTCTTTGCGGGATAGAAGCGTTCCAAAAAGGGTGATGTGTGGTCTGAGGAGAGAAAACGTAAGCACGCGGAGCTCATGAGGGGCATATGGGAAAAGAAGAGGCAGATGAAGAGGAAGCATTGAAATCGTGATATTCGCGTGGTCTTTAAGGCCTGTTCGTGGGGGAAAAAACTAATCAACATAACTACTTAAATACACAAATAACTACTTACTGACTTTACAAAATTGGTATTCACTTTGAAAAATAATATTAAATCATGACAAGTCACAACATATAACATTTACACTTCGACGAGAAACGTACCTACCAGTTTATATAGGAGAGAACCAAATTCCTCAAACATGTTACCTTGGACTTATATTCGACAAAAGTATGACCTGGGGCCCACACCTCAAAATAAAATGACAGAGTTTAAACAAGCGAATAAAAATACTGTACTCACTTTTTTCTAAATCTATTACTTATTTCACAGGACAATGGAATCTTATTGACAGGATTCAGGATGTTCTAAAGGAAACCTTTTATTTATTTACAATGATGCAACCTGCCAAATATAGCATAATACTTTTTTTCAATTCTCTTTTGATAATTGCAATCAGTTACATCCAAGGACACTAGTAATAGTGATAGAAGAGTAGCTCATTCACACTCTACAATAAATAAAACAAAATTAAAATAATAATACTAAAATTAAATGTATATAAACAAAAATAAATAAACTAAATTAATATAAATAACAACATTTTTTTTTCTGTTATTATCTAACCACACCTGTCATGGTTTGACAATCAGCAGATTTGTTGTCATGATGAGGATTGGCATTATAGTATAGGCATGAGGAAGGATAGTACCCAGCAGCACCCCTTCCTGGTCATTCTTTGATTTAGGTGAGAAGATCTCTCATCCAGCTCCTTTTTAGTCTCTTCCTGATAGGCATGTCAGTTGTAGAAATTTCGTTTATAAGTCTATTTGTATGTCCGTGTAGTTTGAGATGGAAACGAGATTAGGGAGTACCTATATGTTGGTCTGTAGTTGGTTGTCGTAAGTCGTTATGTAAAGTTTTGTTGTTGACGTACCAGGGAGCTCCTGTAATAAGTCGTAAAAATTTGGATTGAAATGACTGTAGTTTTTGTAAGTGCGTCTTTTTTGCCGAACCATAAATCTGAGAGGCGTATGTCCAGATGTTTATGAGTAGGTAAGTGTATGTATTTAGTTTTGGTCGGATTTTCAATTTCAATTTAGAAAAAAATGAGTACATTATTTTTAGTTAATTGTTTAAGGTCTGTCGTTTCATACCCAGGTCACTACTTAAATAGACAAATGACTACTTATTGATTTTACAAAATTGGTAATCACTTTGGAAAATAAGATTAAATCATGACGTCACAACATATAATATATACACTTCGACGAGAAATGTGCCCACCAGTTTATATAGGAGAGAACCAAATTCCACAGACACGTTACTTTAGACTTATATTCAACAGAAGGATGACCTGGCGTCCACACGTCAAAATGAAACAACATACTTTAAACTAGCGACTGAAAATAATGTACTCACTTTTTTTGTAAATCGAAACTGAAATTTCGACAAAAACTAAATACATACACTTATCTACCCGAACCCATCTGGACATACGCCTCTCAAATTTACGATTTCTAAATTTTACTACTTATAACAGGAGTTCGCTGGTACGTCAACGACAAAACTTTACACGACTTACGACAACCAACCATTGACCAGCACATACGTATGGTATACTCTCGTTTTCATCTCAAACTACACCGACACACAAACAGACTCATTAACGACATGGCCACCACTGACATGCCCATCAGGAAGAGACTAAAAAGGAGATGTATGAGAGATCTCGTCCTAGAATAGAAAAAATAGAAACAGGAAAAACGGGCGTCGCTTTTTCCAAATACACAAATGGTACAAAGAAATTTATCAAACCTTTAAGTTCCGCTTCGAGATCCCCAGAGACGTCCCCATATACCGTACAGCAATAGTCGAAGTGGGGAAATATTAAGGAGGTGACCAGGAGTCTACGGATTTCAAAATGAAAAAGGTGTCGGAGGCTATTTAAGTGTTTTAGGGTGGAAAAAGTACGTCGGGAGATATTGGATACATGGTTTTTCCAGGAAAGCATTTGATAAAATATTATCCTAAGGTTTTTGATGGTGAGATAAAATTTGATGTAGGAACAAGGTTGGAATGTTAGCAACAGTTTTAGTCTATATTAATTCGAAAATTCTCCATGATATAAAATATTACATTTTTCAGATGTATTTCCTAAATTAAAAGGTTTTCTGGATTTTCGTCGTGTTTATATTTTTTTCGGATCACTCTGTGGCGACGGAAATGTTCGAAAACGAACCACGCTCAAACACGCTCGACCACTGCTAAACATTTCACTCCGTCTTCATTATTTCGCACACTAATTAATTTTTGTTATCACTTTAGCACGTTTAACACCCAAATATTTTCTAGGAGATCCCCATCACGACATGGACACCTCGTTTACATGACCAATTATAGGACAGCTCTTAAATCGTGCGCCAGAAAGGGCCAATCGTGTTACACGGTACAGGAGCGAGTTGATTAACTTTCCCCTTCATTAGTAAATTAGTCAAAGCTTGGGGAGGGGATTTAATTTGTCGGGGAGGGGGGCCCGGTGCGGATTCTTTATTCCTCCTCCTGTCCTTCACCCGGCTTCTAGAGAACAAATTAATTAAATGAATTCGAAGAAAATAATAAAATATTTTTCGAGTTAAGTCCTCTTCTTGGAGCTTTTAAAGGGCTTTAATTTTAAAATATAATTTCAGTTAAAAGAAGCAACTTTAGTATTAAGTTTCCTTTCCACTTTATTTAATTTATATTGACTTTATTTATAATGAAAAGGTAACATCATGAAGCTTAAGGTTCATTTTTTTTTTTTTTTTTTTTAATGCCTCTTGACTTTTTGACTTTCCGTCATCGATCCTCTAGCAACTACGGTGCTGTTCCAGGCGACAGCGTTCATCTTTTGGTTCTCTTATACTCGTATAGAAATTCAGGAATAATGTGGGTTATAATAACCAGACACGATCACTTATCACTCCCTCTTCATTAGGATGGTTGGTAACTCTTCTGCAGACTTCTCCAAGAGTAAAGTGCTGGTTAGGCGAGGGAAGAACGGGAAGATGTACAACTGATCTGCGATGGCGAGACACTTGAGGTAGTGAGTGAATATACCTACCTGGGGACCGTAATTAGTAGCTCGGGTAAGATAGATAATCAGGTGTATTACCAGACTACTAATAGCATTATCGGCCACCGCGAAGTAGACAAGAAGACCAAAATGCATGTATATAAATCTATTTACCTACCTATACTCATCTACGGCGGAGAAAACTGGACAATGCTAGACAGGCACTCTAGTCGTATAAAGATAGCAGAAATGAGGTTCCTTCGCAGATCTGTTAGGAGAACTAGAAGGGATCGCATTAGGAATGAAAGCATTAGAGAGCAACTAGGAGTTACCGAACTTAAAATCACTCTAGAAAGACGGCAACTCCAGGTTTGGACATGTATGTCGCATGAATGAGAACTTGAATCCTATAAAGATATTAGAGGCTCGACTCACAGGAAGGAAACCACGAGGACGCCCTAGACTTACATACCAAGAGTATATCCAAAGAATTGGAAGTAAGAGAGCGAAAACCATCTATGAGATGAAGCGGCTAAGCAGATTGGTTACGCTGGATTGAAGCTCCTCGACTTTAACTAATGGCATAAGAGGAGACAAAGAAGAAGAAGATAGGGTTAATGTCTGGATACACAGGAGTCGCTCACCTTCCTGTGAATACAACACTACAACTCAGATTAGGGACTTTGAGTGGGTTCAAATATTTGTTTAAAAAAAATTTACTATAAATTCACATTTTTATTTTTCCGCAACTCAAAAAAAATGCACAAATATTACTACCCTGTTTTCTTCTGTAACTACATATAAAAGTGAATATGCGAATATATAACAGTAAAAAAAAAAATGAAATGTTGGCAACTTGCTAATTCATTAATTCATCGTAAAGTGCTCATTAATGATTATGGTCGAATTTTCACCATTTGGCAAAAACTAGTTTTAATAAATAAATTTTAACTATTTAAATTTAAATTTTAACTTCATAATTGGTAATTGGTTGACTGTCGTGGATAATGAAGAGAAGAATAGTTAGGGTGGTCAGTCAAAAAAGAAGGCAAAAATAAATGTTAATATTTATTTTTTACATATGCCGACGTTTCGACCTGAAGTTCAGGCCTTCATCAGGGCTAAGAAAATAACCAGATAACAAGGTATGAGAAACATAAGTAATGATGGTAAAAAAGATAATAAAAAATAAAAAAAAAATTAAAAAAAATAAAATAGATAAATATAAAGTAAAATGAAATTGTTAGAATAATGACTAAGAGCTAAGAGATAAATAATAAAAACCGTTACAAAATGTGGAATGATGAAGTAGGCATAATCAAAAAGGGTGACAAAAGTGTTACAATGCGAATCTTAGAATAAAATGTAAAACATAAACAAGAAATATGAAGTTATATAAGTAATGAAAATAAATAGTAAAATTAAAACATTGAGAATGGAGTAGTTAGATAGAAAATTGAGATATTGTAAAGTCTATCAAGATGTACAGACAATGTATAATATAATAAAGAGTTAAAAACAGAGAAAAGGAATGAAAGGAAGGAGGGAAGAAATTGAGAAAGCTGAAATAAGAAAGCAATAAAAGAAGTACTACCTGTCTCCTTAAGTGTCGCAGGGAGAATAAAAGTCGTTACAAGGGAGGGGGAGAGAGAAGAGATGTGTAGGTGGCGTCATCTCTAACGGTTATTTTTGCCTTCCTTTTTGACTGACCACCCCAACTATTCTTCTCTTCATTAAATTTTAACTATTCAAGTAAACTCGTGGTTTGTAATTAGTTATGCTGGGCAGGTTTGGGGTTTCGAGCCCTATGAAGTTTTGGAAAAATTTAAAAGATATTTTGTAAAATATTTACTACTTCTTCCAAGGTATGCACCTAATTATATTTTTGCACACGAAACCGGTATCGCCTCGATATACTCCTACAAACTTAAAATTCATTTCGACTATATTTTAAAAGTGCTGCAGATGCCGAGTTTTCGTTGGCCACATATCCTAGCGAAAGAGGTGATATCTAAGAGAGTTTAGTGGTACCAAAAGTGGTTAGAATTCGAGGATAGTTGTAAAACTAATCTTGATATTGCAAATATCGCCGATCAGCTCGGAAAATTGACTGTTGTTAGACATAGAGTAAAGGACTTAAAAAAACAAAATAATCTAGAAAGATGTGTTCATTCAAGTTTTTCTGTTTATGCGGGGCTATGTTCAGTGGGCACTGTTACATCCTATCTTAATGATAGTTTTGATATTGTGACTATAGGGTCAATTTTTCGATGTAGGACAGAATTGCTCGATTTAAGAGTAAAACCATGGATGTTGGAGGACAAAGATTGCTGTCCGGTATGTAACTCTCAAGAAAAAGAGGATATCATTCACTTTTTGGGGACATGCCACACGTTCAGTGAGTTAAGAAAGGAATGTTTTGTGCAACGGACCTGTTCTCCAAAAGAATTATTTGGTTTCTTAAAGGGTTCTAACTGGAAAGCCTTAAGCAATTATGTATAGCAGGCCACATTGCAAAGATCTCAATTAATCAGAAAGTAAACTATTGATACAATATCGTGTTTATTTATTGTAACGTTTGTTTTATTATTATATTGTATTTGATGATTATTATTATTTTTGAATTTAAATTTCTTATTTATTGGATATGTGATGTATTAATGTTTGTTTTTTGAAAACTATATTTAAACAGATGAGACAGTGAAAAAGAAATTTGCTAGAATGGATGTATAAAACCATAATAATACTGTCGATGTATTATTGCTCATTTAGTTTAGTTATAAATGTGATTAATATTTATTATTAATAATTACACACAGACCTCGACAGACAGAATTTTCCATTGTCTATGTGTTGTTGCTTATATATATATATATATATATATATATATATATATATATATATATATATATATATATATATATATATATATATATATATATATATATATATATATATATATATATATATATATATATATATATTAATTTGTGTACTTTTTTTAAAAAGTTTAATAAACACGTTTTCATGCATTCAAATAAATTTTAAAAACATATATGACCCAAGTTAGCATGACCATGTTATTTTAATACAAATTTACATATATTATTATACAATACACTACAACTGTCCAATTATAAAGTTGAGAGGGGGGGGAGAGGTGGACTGTCCAATTCAATCCATCTCAGAGATAAAGGTAATCAACCGGGAACACGGGAGAGCGCAAACACTATCGTCCAAGATTAGAGTTTTAATTAAATTAGCAGTCACTAATTTGATTGTGAGGGGGGCGCTCTTTGTCCCTGTCCATGTTTGATTCTCCCGCACTCTGGTGGCCAAACAAAACAGATCCTTCTATCCAAATAAAGAACATGTCAGAGTTCCAATTAACCAAACTATGGCAGTTTGATTATTAGCAAGTTAGACTTCCAATTCTAATTGCCACCTGCTAGAGGATGGTACTTCAAAAATGTGACCAAAATAAGAAATTTCTGCTTTACTCAATCATAGTATATATTATATCAATCAATGTTAGGTTAACTATACAATAAAATGATATACGGTAGTTTTAACGGTGCGTTTAGACATTTCACAAACTATGGAAAAAATAATAGTTATAATAATGGTTGCTTTCCTATGCTTCTGTTTTTGTTATTTATGTTTTTCATCTCGTATCGGTAACAAGGGAAATAAAAAAAGTAAGGCTTGTGTTTTAGACTACACGATAGAAATGAAAACACCAATAAGGCAAGATTAATAATATGTATATTTTTAAAATTTTTATTATTGAAATTTACAACTGTATTAAATGATAGATACAAGAAGTAACATGGCATGTACAACATGAAGAGAAACCCATTGGTAACACTTCAATTATATTTCTATATTAGAAAGTTCCGATCCATCTTCTTTTCTGACTCTTCAGAGAATTATCAGGAATAGAAGAGAAAGCAAGGTTGGAAACAAGAGTGTTCGGATGGTTCAGAAGTTTATTATGGAAAGATAGCTATCTGGACTGAGCTAAGTCGGAATCACATTGTTCATTAAGGTCGTTGTGGATGATGTTATTTGTGACAAAGTAAGGAGGATTTTACGTAGGATTTTGAATTGTACATGGATACGAGGAGAATTTGATGGTTTAATAGAGCCCCAAAGTTCAATCCAAGTCCAAATAAGCCGTATTATAGTAACATATTTGAGTCTTTTGTAAATAGTTGGAAGTTTAGAGCGTTTGTTAAGTAAGTGCTGCAGCAGTCGATAACTTAGGTTTCTAGTCGTTTCAGTCTGATGTGGGGGTTCCAAAAAAAAAAAAAAAAAATTATTTTGTTTTGTAAGTCTTACAATTGTTTTCTAGTGCTTATAAACATAGTATACAGTTACTTTAACTAAAATACGAATGCCGCGTATTTTTCCGT